GAAGTATCAAAATTTATTTTTTTCCTATTCAATTATTAACTTTTGTTTGATAAAATAATGCCAAGTGTTATAATATTGTATAATATAATATGTAATAATATATATAATATTTATATCGTAGATCAATAATATTGTAGTATTAATATTGCAGGCTCTCATCGATTGTTCATGGGGATTTGGTAACAACGGATGCGATGGTGGAGAAGATTTTCGTTCATATCAGTGGATAATGAAACATGGTGGTTTACCTACTGAAGAGGATTATGGTGATTATTTAGGACAGGTAAAATATATATTCGATTACATTTATTAAAACTGAAAACGATATCTGATTATTAATATAATTTGTAATGTGCGAACCAAAGGAATCTTTTTCTTTTTAGGATGGATATTGTCATATAAACAATGTAACACTAACAGCCAAGATCACAGGTTTTGTTAACGTCACTCCACGTAGCGTAGAAGCTTTGAAAATCGCTATTGCTAAACATGGTCCTATCTCTGTTGCTATCGATGCTTCTCACAAAACATTTTCTTTTTATTCTCACGGAGTGTATTATGACCCAGCTTGTGGTAAGATTTATAAACTTTTATTTATAATATTGAAAAAATTTACTAATATGTTACTCAATTATGTTTTCGTGTATAGGTAACACCGAGAATAAATTAGATCATGCTGTTTTGGCTGTTGGATATGGTACTATGAATGGAAAAGGTTATTGGCTGATAAAAAATTCTTGGTCTAATTACTGGGGTAATGACGGATATATTCTAATGGCGCAAAAGGATGACAATTGCGGAGTTCTTCTTGCTCCTACATATGTTACTATGTAATTATAGTTTTATCTCTAAGAATTGGTCATATCATTTAAGCTCTCTGGTATTTCTAATTAATAAATATTCAAACACAATTTAGAAAATTAAGAAGCTAAAATATATTTCGTTATTTAGTTACTTAGTTATATTTCATAATGAACAAAGTGTAATAAATTGTTGAAAATCGTATTTAGTGTAGGAAAAATGTGATTATACTATATAATAAAAAAATAAAACATTTCGTAATTATAAAAAGTGTCTATTAAACATTTTTTTATTAATATCAAGAATGAATATTTAAGAAATAAAATAAAAATATTATACATTGAACCAAATATTATTCCAATTTGAAGTTTATATTAACAGCAGAAATAAGCAGAATTCTTTATGAAATTTAGGCATATATGTATAAGTAAAACAGAATCTTAGAATATTAATTTATTTTCGGAATAGTTGATATTAAATTAGTACCACATGTAATTTAACATAGACTTGATGCATTATTTTTTTTATCAAAGGATAAAGTTACTTTCACTTTCGCAATCTTTTTTTTTTTTAAACACGAACGGTCATTACATATTATATTTTTAATTATATTTTTATTAATAGTTTTAACGAATGATACGATATATTCAAAAAATTTTTATAAACTGTTTTTACATATAACGATGTCAACGTAATTAGCAATTATACTAATTCGTTCTTTCTTTTTTATTATATTAATGCATTTTTTCGTTTGTCAAATAGCCTTGTACAATTCCAAAATATGGTTATAACTATATATTTTTACAAATATATAAATACTTTTTCTAATGCATTTATGTTCAGTAAGATTATTATATGGTATTTGTATATAATGTGTAATTGATATGGATACTTTCAAAATATACATAATGTCGTTTATATTTGTGATAAATGCTAAAGGAATGTAAAAAAATACATGTGATATGACAAACAGGTATAAAGCAGACATAATTAATGGAAATTAACGAATAATAAACTAATTCTTTGCACGTGAAAGGATATTAAGTAAACTATATAGTTACAATTTGTGAAAAATGATGTTCATACAGGCTGTGTAAACTATATTAATGAAAAAAGAATTAGAATCTATTAGCGCATCTCTGACGGAAAAATTTTTATGAAAATTTATATATTGAGATAAAATCAGAAATTTTTAGTTTTTCATAGATATTCATAGTAGGATATGTAGAGTAGTATTTTGAAAAGCCAAGAAAGCCTTCGTCCTCAAACAACACTACTTTATGTCCCATTACGAATATCTACGAAAAACTAAGAATTTCTAAAACAAACAAACCTCATTCTACCTCTCACTACAAATATCTACGAAAAATTAAGAATTTCTAAGATCTTGTCTCAATCTATGTACTTTTTCATAAGAATTTTTTTTCGCCAGGGATATTAAAGTTAAATCCTTTGATTTTGTTATTATCGAAAGAAAAAAGATGCAAATGTAGTGCATTTAAGTACATGAAACGTATATTATTATATATATTTTTCACAGATTCTATTTTTCAGTTTATATAGTACATGTGACTAAGTGCCAACACTAGAAAATTGTCCGAAAGAATTTTATTATACACAAATCTTTGTTTCTTCGAATTTTGTTATTTCTAAAATTTTACTTTCATTCTATATCACTTGCGGACAAGATGTCCGACCAAATTACTCGCGAATTATTTTAATATCGGCGAGTATAATTATAATAGTTGCGAAAGTGTCAACTTTCCTTCTTTTATGTATATTACATACGATAAAAGTTATAGGAATGAAAAGAGCTGTTCCAGAAAAAGAAAGTGAAGGAATGTATGTGTGTGTTTTAAGCACAGGGAATGAAAGGAAGGTAGGTAATACTTATCTAAAATAATATCCGTTACTTTTCTAATCATTATCGTTATAATAACGATTTGGTAATTTTTTTATAATTGTAATAACATCAGGAAAAGTCACGTTATTGAAAAAATTAATTAGCATTCATAACTGATCACTATACTTTTTAGTCGTTATTTTTAAAGATTAATGTTATATCGTTACTCGTTATAAATTACTTTTTTTAGTACCTGGAAAAAATGTTTCATATATAATTATATAAAAAATTTTGACATATATTTTAAGAATTATACAATTATATATAAATTATATATAAAATATGTCCATATATATAATATTTTTTCTGGTATAAGTAAATGCGTGATGATGCAAGTTACTTTTCAAAGTGGCTTTCCCAACTTTAGTGCGTTCTTAGTTATCATTATAGCTATAAAAAAATTACGTCATCATCAAATTGTTATTATAAAAAAGGAAAAAGTAACGGAATAGTAATTCTTCCATTCCCTGGTTAAGCATAGCTTTTTCGCTAGTTTTTTTTTGTAAATCGCACAGAAATACACGTCATGCAATTTTTCATACGACCGAAATGTTTTCTGGTAGAGACTGATTTTCATATATACTTTTGATTAAAGAAATCCCATTTCTAAGGCAGTATAGAGGGCTTGAGTGTCTGAGTGACTATTTATCCTCCAAAAGGGAAAGTTGTGTGCTCGCGCTGCTGTTTCCTCGTCAGAATCGTCTCCTATTACCACATACGTACATCTACGGCCAAATCGGGCAACCACTCTACCGAAACAACTCTCCTTTCCTAAAACAAAAACATAACTTATGCTATGAAAAAAATAAAAGAATGGCTAAAATCTCGCTTTGTGATCAAATGATAGGATATTTTAAATTTTTTGGCACATCGCTTATGAACAGATAGATCAATTACTCTTTTATCTAATATCTTTAAAAATTAATACCTCATTAACTATTGCAAAAATTACAAAACGGTAGAGAATTTTTCGACTTACTTTAGTCCGCTCTACCTGTTTACAAGCGATGTGTCAAAGTTCACAGTTTGAGACATCCTGTATAATTATATTTTTGGATAATTATATTTAATTATTTCTTTATATTTGATAATTACCGATTTTGGAAGCCGAATATATATTCTCTATAGGAAATATTCCACCGATGCCAAATAGCAGAACTTTGGAGAGTGCGGGTACCAGCTGCGTAGTCGTTACTAGAATATTGATGCAATGGCTTCTCTTGTTGATAATGTTCAGACACTTTACTGCCGACGTCAACCAATTATCGGTCAACATTTCGATCTCGGAACGCAGTTGTAGCCATTGTTCGCGCTTGGCTGTCCCTAAGAGACCACCCACATTATTCCGATAATTACAATAGATTTCCTTGATTTTACGATAGCGAAACGCTAGCTTTCTCATCCAATCGACGCCTCCTCGCACACCGGATGCCAGGCATATCCCATTGTTTGCAGACGCGCACTGGAAACCGTCAGTCGCGAAATTGTAGGATGACAGATCCTGTCCGTTGTCATCCGACGAAACATCATCTATATGCACTTGATCACAGTCCTGCGAAAGAAAAAATAATACGCTGAATTTTTTGCAAATTTAAATTTGTATGTGAAAATACGAATCAGTATATATACACGTATATAGCTATATTACAAAGCATATGGTTCAAATATGGCTCATTTAGGCTTTGATATTTTTTTTACTCTCGAACTAAAATATTCAAAAATTCATTGTGTTTCTAGCTGAAATCTAATCGTTATACTATACAAATAGTCACATAAGTTTGCAGATGTTAGTTCTTAAAAGACACATGGTCAGCTTATGGAAGTTTCCTTTTCGGAAAAGTTTCCATCTAGGAAATGAATCATATCAGAATATTTAAATCAAATATCTCAAGTATTATTTGCAAATTTATAAATAATAAGTAACATTCTGTATTGTTTTCTAGAAAGTATTTTCTAGAAAGTACTTTTTTAGAAAATAAAATAAATAATTATATATTCATTAAGATTAAATGTTATTTAAATTATTGTATAAAATGTTAGTTAAGTATTTATACGTAGGATAATTATAAACATCTTTTTATCTTTGAATCTATAAAAATTATTTAAATATTTTACTTCTGCAGTAATCATCCCGTTTAAAATTTATACATGTTAAGAAATTTTTATCACCTCGACATCATTGAAGAAAAAATGCGTATCCGCCAAATTGAATATCATCTCCTCCATCCTGAACCCCACTTGAGCTAGAAGACTTGCATCCTTACGGTATTTAGTGGCGAATTGTCCGGTTAGCAGGGAATGAAACACAACTATGGTTTCGTCGAGGTCCCAAATAAATATACGCTCGGGGCCGGCTTCCGTCGTATCCGCGGAACCGATACTGTTTCCACTTCCGCTCTGTCTCCTTCCGCGTCTGCATGGCTTCGTCGTTGCCACTATAAAAGTCGTCATACAGATTTTTTTACAAATATTTCTTTTCCATTATATACATATATATCCTTTCTTTTAAATATTCTTTCAAAAATTATATGTATAATATCCCTTTGATAATGTGTGTATATATATATATATATAAATATATATATTGGGTCATTTAAAAAGTATCCGCGGTTTTTTCATTCAAAAATTGAACAAAAAACCGCGGATACTTTTTAAATGACCTAATATATATACACGTATATATATAAAGATTATATACAATATTACCTTCAATATTTGTGGTTTCCCGTGCAGTCAGATCGCTTGCATCGTGCGTCGTTGCGTCCAATGTGAGCGACTTGGTCGAATCTTTTTACACATATAAAATAACGTTAATTACGACTATTTGATAGAGGAAAATTAAATGTGCGAATAATTTTTGTTTGAATTGTAAAATTTCTTATCTACATCAGTTGTTATGGGAGTCAAAATATTAAAATTTCAAAATATTAACGCGACACATTTAAACTGAATAGTTTTCAAAATTAAACTTGAACCATCACCCAATTAAATGACTTAAATATAAAAGTTTTATTTTGTATCATTGTCTTTCCAATAGTTTATATAGCTGTTATAATTAGTTTACTTTTTTTTAAAAAGAAATTTCATTTACATCTTGTAAAAAATAAGAAAGCGCGTAACATTTAAAAAATTACCAGCGAAGTTGATGTTTCCGATATTAAATGAAGTAGGTGGTGCATGATAACCGGCCACAGGATAATATCCGGAATACTGGAGCGGTACCCTGTCGTTTCCGTATAAACTACTGCTGTAAGCGCTATAATCTAATTTCTGTAAAAGAAGAGTAAGAGAAGTAAAATCATTCGTAATTTGAGAAAAAAATCAAAGTTGAAAATGGAACAAAAAATCGAACGTATCGTGTTCGTTCTTACCTGAGAAGCCGATGATATATTTTGCGCCATATTTGGGAAGGTTGTTGTCCCGCTATTGTAACTGGCATAGGACGGATATTGCGTCATCGAGCTTGGCGATGTATAAGAGCTTAAGTATGAACTCTGCAAGCTCGATGCGTTTTTCGAAGCTGTCGTTGATCCGTAAGGTGGCGAGTTATATAAGCTATGAAAGAGAAAAAGCCATGATAAAAACTAACTGTTTTGGATAATCAAAATCTATTTATGTGCAAATCAAATTGATTTTACACATGTGTAATACATAAATGCAGTTCGACGATTATACGAGACTATAATCTGATCTTTTAAAAAGAATTATCAAAAGATACAAAAGATACATGTGATAGTATTTTATACAGCAAGTATATCTTCTGTATTTTATCATTTTATTTAAAATATATAACTCCAGTAAATTAAATATCTTTTTATCATAATCATTTTTCAAAATAAAATTAATCTCATTAAGAGACATTTAATCACTGAACTGTATATCTAGCGCGTAACAATTAATGTTAAATACCTGTTATAATATTGGTTGGCGCCATATAGGGATCCGTAATCTGCTTTTTCTATCGAATCTGGATAACATTCTCATCAATATACAGTTCACCACCAGGTACGCTATCATTTTCAGGACAGTCTTGCACCTCGTTCTTAACTTCGGTCTCTTGTATGAAAATGATAAAATATTTTGTTTTATATTCTGAATCCTTTGAGTTTAAGTATATACTTATTTCTGATTTAACTTTATAATTTTTCATTAAGAAAGAGTCTTTCATTGAGAAACAAGTCCAATGTAGATCAATTTTAATCTCGAGTTAATTTATTTGTCAGAAACTAGAACTAGAAGAAAATAAAAAGTAAGTTAAACGAGATTAATGTTAATTTATATTGGTAGAAACGGACATTAGTTAAATTCGAAATGTTTCGTCGTTTTTTGAAATGTTCGATTGTTTTTTGTCATTTTTAGTATGAATAAAATTATATTATTAGTTATTTAATTTGAGCTCATTTAAATTTTTTATGTTTAATTTATTTATTATTTTGTTTATAAAAGCAGTTTTCCGAAATGTCTGTATCTGTGTGTGTGTGTGTGTGTGTGTGTGTGTGTGTATGTGTGTGTGTGTGTGTGTGTGTGTGTGTGCGTGCGCGCGCGCGTGTGTACACACATATATGTAATGGAAAAATTTGATTAATTCGGGTATAATGCATAATGACTGGCTTTATTAAAGCAGATATTATCCATATTGGCCAAATGTTATGTATAAATGTCGAATTAATTATATTGCTCATAACATAATGAGGAGCAAACTTTCAAAATGCGTTTTGTCCAAAATTTATAATTTTTAGAAAACGAGAAAGAAAGCCACAAGAAAACTGCGCGCCTTAGCCACAGAAAATAATAACTTTGCCAATCAATAAGATGTGAAATGTTCAACAAAATTGCTAAACAAAATTGCTAAAAATGTTAAACAAATACATTTTGTTTGTTTCTAGTTCTAAAAGATGTAATGTACTTCGAATATCAAGATTTTTTTCAGCACATAAATTGATGTAGAAATGTTTTCAGAACATCGTAGAATAGTTTAAAATATGAGTCTCTCAATATTGAACACTATGCCATCTTTAACTCAAAAAATGAAATCTTGGACAAAATGCGTTTTAGAAGTCTGCTCCTCATATATATATTTTTGCTTAATGATTCACGACATTGATTGCCGTTCTTTTTTCAATTGTATTTTCACAACATTGATAATTGTAGTAAATGTAAAAATAGCAAAATGCAAAGCGGTTAAAGTATGAGATGAGCGTACTGGCAAATAAATTAGATATTAATGAAGAAATCAAATTTATTTAAGTTTTTACTTATAAATATATTGTATGTAAAAAGGAAAGAATAAAATCTCCCACACAATTGTTTAATTTTGAATCTATATAGCAATGCATCTATTCTACGCCAATGTAGCTGCATGTTATATCTACCATTGTTTGCGGCGCGAGGATGCTGTACCGAGGCTTCTGTCGAGGAAGACACGTTGCCAGCATTGTCTAAAACCCCTGCTGGTTTTGTCGGATCATTGTCTTCGGTTAACATATCACTCTATCTGTAATAACAATTATCGATGTGTCTCTCTATATCGAGAACATGATAAAAGAATAGATAAACATTGTGACAAAAAAGTAAAATTGTATCGCGCTCATAATTTAAAAATTATCGGTGTCGATCTTTATTGGAAAGATACGAGATAATTAGAGAGAGAGAGAGAGAGAGGGGGGGGAGAGGGGGGAGAGAGAAAGAGAGAGGAGAAAGAATCCATAAATAAAAACGTATGTGTTTTAATATACCAATAAAAAGTATATATCTCTACGTAAGAGGGTGAAGACTGAAGAATGAGCTAAAGAAATAAGATATTAAAATTTATAAATAATAAAAATAATAATATTATTTAATATCATAAGATTAAAATAGTACATTTTGACACTAAGTCTTTGTCAGCTAATAAAATAAATAAAATAAAATTAATTAATAAGAGAGATACACTAATTAAGCGTCATAAAAAAGTGTTAACCGCAAGATTAAATTTCATAAATAAAGAGGATCTTCCAAAAAATCATTTAAAAAATCACGCAAATCTAAGCAAATTAAAAATCAGAAATAATAAATTATAAAATTTGACATAAAATAATCGAAGATGAAAAGATGAGGTTTGGTGGTTCATGCAGTTAAAAGGTTAAAATTATATCGATTCGGTAGCGAGAAATGTTAAATTAAGTCATGTGATAAACATTAATATTAATTGTGTCTATATGTTACATTCGTCTACGAGGAGTCCCAATTATGTCTCAACTCTCAATAATGACTGATAGTCATCGACGCTAGTTCTTATCTCTCGAAAATAACTGTTATTTTAATAGATAAAAACACACTAATTAATATCAGAATAATGACCATATAGAAATCAAAATTTAATGTTATTTCATCAAATGTTATTAATATCAAATGTGATCAATAGAAAATAAAAATTTCTATATGTAAACTTACATATGATCAGTCAAAGGAAGAATGAACTGTATGTGTGTCTTTTTTTAAATCAGAAACGATTATTTCTTAATTCAAATCTTTCACATAGGACCGAAGTAATTGGCGTTGATGAAATAAACTGTAAACATGTTGATTCGGCGCAATAAAGCGAGGAAAGATGTAAGATAACAAACTGTGTTTGTATATATTGTTTAGCGTTGTATTTTGATATCAGAGTTCGTCAAGGATATTAAAATAGGCATTATTAAGCACCTTTATACCTTTGTTGGTAAAACGTTGCGATTAATACAGACAAAAAGTATCTTAAAATCGGATCATAAGATAAGATGTTTTTTGCACCTAAAGGACTACTTAAAGACGCCTTATATTGCAATTATAGACTTTGTATTATTTGGATACTTCTTTCATGATGCTTAATTATACCGTTTTATTAATTGAATATATATTTTATTTACTGACGAAGACTCGGTGTAATCGAAACATATTATTTTGATATATTAAATCTTTTGATATATTAAATCCTCATTATTTATTAATTTTAACATCTATATGTACACACACGCGCGCGCGTGTGTGTGTGTGTGTGTGCGTGCGTATGTATGTATACCATATATATGACTATTTTTTTATTCCAACAATTTGTAATTTAATGATACATGCGGAGTTATGAATTTATACCCTAATAAACAGCTAAATCCAAGGCATTAACGACTCTGCGTCGAACGATAATGCATTAACGCAATCTTGCAGGTGAAAAAAGATCGCACCTGTAAGATCGCAAGGCTGCTCGTTCGCGTGAGAACTCGATTATTGTCTGCCAATTGCGTGTCGAAGAGGTGGAGTGACTGGTTGGGTAGGCGTACACCATGAGGCACCGAAACCAGCCAATGGAATCTCCTCGATGCTTTGCATTATGTATTCTTTATGTTGCCAAGTCACTATCTATATCTGCACTCCGCCCTTATGCGTGCGCGTACATATGTCTCATACATATTTCGTATGATGATGTGAAAGATACCTTCAAGAGTTCCTCGAGATGTGATCACTCTTGTCCCACATACATTTCTATATGCAATCTCTTTTCAAATAATAGTACAACTTGACTTTCCAGCTGATAATGATGATCAATTTAAGTATCTTGATAACAGAATCTTTAAGTATGATTGCTTTGAAGGAAGCTCATCAAAGACTATAATTAACATTCTCTGAATGAAATTAAATCATCGTTAAAAAAGTGTAACGAAAATATAACTGATTGCAGAAGCAGTTCAGCTCTTTAATTCATCATTTTCACTTTGGAAAATTTTCATTTTATTGATGGCGAACGATTTTTATAAATTTATATAAATATATATATATATATATATATATATATATATATATATATATGCGTGTATCATACTGGAGTAAAGTATCGTGAAGAGATCGAGTTCTGAATTTGATGAATAAATTACGATTTTCTAGCACATTTCATGCAAAAAAATTTAAAAAATCCAACTCTGCAGATTGATCAAATATTATCACGCTGAATATAGAGACATAAATTTGTTGTCACTCTATATAGCGTCGCAGTTCATTTCGCTGCGCCGAGTTGCATATCTTAATGTACAGCGAAGCGAAAGATGAAAGGCACTTCGCTTATCTAAACAAAAGCCTGTGCCGAAGTGTTTATCACGGGCGAGTTGCTTAGCTTGCTGTCTGACTGGCTGTCTGTCTGTCAACCGTCAGGGAAAAAG